AGGGGAGGGGGCTACAGAAAGTGTTGGCAGCCGAAGACGCGGCGTATTCCGAAGTGTGGGGTCGATATCGCTTGCATCCCTGCCGCCCCGCGCTCCTGGGCTACACAGTTGGCGTATTTTTTACTTTTAATTACTGCCCTGCAGCCTCATCGTAAGATGGGATCTGCTCGCGAAGAGCATTACGGCTTTAGGCAGGGGGGGGGGGGGGGGGGGTGGCGGGGGCCCACGGGCGAAAGTGGGGGGATTTGGACCCGTGGAGTAGGACCTGGAGCCGTGTCTCCCTTCCTAATGGGGGGCTTCCTTCAAGAAGGGACCGTTAAGGCCTTTCCGGCGGTAAACGGGGCCCCTCAAAGGGCAGCTTTTGTAAACGGATTCTTTCAATTATCTTTCTGATTACCAAGGAAGATAGATAAGAACAGGCTTTTGTAAGTTTTCTGTGTTTTTAAAGTCTAAAGGGCATGGAGTTGTCTGCAGCATTTTGAACTCTCAGTGAGAGCCTAGCAGGCTCTTCACCTGAGGGGTGGTCGGGGACCAACACTCCTCATCTGTCTTGAACAGATTCAGTCTTTTATTTATGCTCCATCTTCTGTGTGTATTCTTCCAGCCACAAATACCATACTGGGCCAAAGCAGAAGTTTGTTGCTAGTTTTATCAAAGTCTTCAACTACAAACTAAAAACCCAAAGCCTAAAAATTGGATAAAAATATTTTAGGCCCAGGTCTGAAGATGTAAAAGCAGTGCTATATAATTTCAGCTAATTGAAAAGGTAGTGATAGTTTTTGCAGGAGGGACAAAGCTACTCCTGTGCTTGGAAAACTGAAGTCCTTTTAACTTTTATTAGCTCCACCAAACTTAATCAGATTATCTGTAATGAACACTTGTCCCTGCTTTGTGTTGTGTTGAGATTTTTGTGGTTTTGTTTTAGTTTTGATGGGGTGTTTTTTGTTTTGTGGGTTTATTTGTTGCTTTGTTTTGTTTTTGTTTTTTTATTAAAACAGTGGTTTCAGTGCTATTGAGTTGGTCTATGGATATCTTCTCTCATTTTGGGGACCAACCAGGAGTTTGGTGAACTTGCATTTCTGTCAATCCAAAAGTTCTTTGCTCTTTTTAATGGATGGTGATCCATTTTAAAGTGTTCAGCATACCTTCACGGGCTGCACCCAAGGAATAATCAGTGTCGGATGGATGTTCCTCTCTGTCACTCTGTGTAAAAGCAAACAGTTATTGCTTGTCTGTTCTGTTCTTCTGGGCAGGGTGTTCCCAATATGGGAAATCTCTGTAACTATACCTGTGCTTCTCCCCCTGCTTCCCCCTCCCTCCCCCCCCCCCCCCAAAAAAAAAGCCAAGGTAGGAGATAATGTGGCTGCAGATTATTGTACTCTGATTATACATTTCTAGTTCAAGAGCCTACAACGTACCTAGTCCATGACAGTAAGATTACTGTCTTGGACAGGCCCCGTCTGCCCCTGCACTGTCAGGGCAATAGGCAAACGTAGCTGAAGATGCAGGGAAACAAAGCTGTGTTTTTAATTGTAGCTGGAATGCTAGTATTGAGAAAAAATGGGTTAAGTGAGTTATTTGACAGGCATAGTAATGATTATCTTCCTCTAGTGAAAGGCTGGAACAGAACAAAATGCCATTGGTTCCTGTTGTCATACAGGTTTCAGAATTTATAGTAAAAAGCAGCATTTGGGCTTAAGCTACTGTTTCAAGATGTCAGCAGGA